TTTTTGGCTTATTATTGAAGAAATCACATATCAATAGAGAATTTTACGCTTATTGTCATCCAATCAGAACCATTGATACAAAATAATTGCATTAGAATTTCGATTGACGGCTGTTGAATTTTTATTGGGAATGAGGTTTTTTGAGCACGTGAATATCCTTGAAGGATTGGTGTTTATTGTTATCTTGCCATTTCGAAAAATCATGATTAATTGAGGGTTACAAGAAAATTAAATGAGGCCGAAAGTCATAACATTGAATAAGAATTACAATAACGGAATATATAAACAATTTATAAAACAGTCGAAGAATTCTTATAAAAACTATATTGAACAGCCCTACAGAATGACGTTAGTAAAACAAGACAGACATATAACAAACATAGGTCCGAGCAAGCAGCTATATCGTAGTGAATTTATCTAAGACAGAAAAGGCAAATTTAAAAAAAATTCCCACCTGCTCTATCCAAAAAATATTTTTACCGTGTAGTGTATAAATATTGGGACACATTATATCAAAATTATAGAAAAGTATATAAACTGTCACTCAAATTAAGGACAATTCTATGCAGAATGGGTGTATAATATAGTGTGACAGCTTCAGATCTAGACATACCTATTTTTGACCTTTTCAAACTGGACCAGATCACTAATTTACCTGCATGTAAACATTATTCTAAACTGTTTATACATGTAATTTCACCTCCATATTACTATTTTATGCAAAACATATAAGGAAATAAATTTGGAAGGTGTATGAACAACATGTGAGTAAGCTAAACACTGTCCGTATTAGGGACTCTATTCTATAGTCAAAGGACGATAACTGTGTCCCGGACCTAATAAAAGGCAAATACAGAAAGATATAAGAACTCTTAGTAAAACCATAGAAGGGGGCAGGATAAAATACGGTAAAAGAAACAGAACATTGATATAATTGAATATGTAGACAGCTCTCTCATAATCAAAAAACCCTAACTGTAAAAATATAAGGGCATACACTTGAGGTCGAAACAAAAGGTTTGTTTTCTGTCATCTAGAGTTATTGTTCCTCTACATTTAGAATTTTTGACAAAATGAAAATAAGGAGATGTTGTATGGAAATGAGAAAGCTGTCCCTTAAAGATCAAACGACAAAGATGTAAAAATTATTGAATACCGTTTGGCCTTAAACAAAGAGCAAAAAAGGTCTTGACTGATTAGATCGGCAATAAGCACACACACAAATAGCAAAAAAGCAGAAGACGCAAAGTGCTGATCTTAGTTTATGGCAGTTACCGAAAGCATGTTTGAATATCTGTTCTTAATAATTTGGTTATATCTGTATATATATTATTCCTTCAAAATAAATATTTTTTCAAAATATATGATTCTTTCAAAATATTTAGCAATGTTGCAGAGTTCAAACTGAGTCAGCATTAGCCAAAATTTTCAATGAAAACTGAAAAAGGTGGATATGTTCCGGACCATATACTCATATCATAGATATGTTCCGACCATACGCGTATGGTCCGGTTAATTAAAACGATGTATGTTGAAATGGTGTCCCATAAATTAGGAGTTTCTAAAATGATTTTTTTTATTTATTCAATCATATTGTAATCATTCTACATTGGCTAGAGATATAGGGGGAGGGTTGAGATCTCACGAAACATGTTTAACCCCGCTGCATTTTTTGCGCCTGTCCCAAGTCGGGAACCTCTTGCCTTTGTTAGTCTTGTGTGTTTATTTTAAATTTTGGTTCATCTATATGTTTCGGAGTTTAGTGTGACGTCCATTTTCTCTGAACTAGTACACATTTTTGTTTATGGGCCAGCTGAAGCCCGCCTCCGGGTGTGGGATTTTCTCGCTGTGTTGAAGACCCATTGATGGCTTAGGCTGTTTTCTGTTCGTTGGTCGGGTTGTTGTCTCTTTGACATAGTTCCGGTTTCCAGTCTCAATTTTATTACATTATAAATGAAATTAAGGGAATTTTACTTATAAGTAAGAATTGTAGTTAAATCCTTTTTACATGGTCATTATTGATTTGTCCTTACATTTGTACGAAACACAATATATCGACTTATGAAAATAACTCCAAGAAATATCATGAAAATAACTCATAGAAATATCTAAATGAACTGTTGAACAAGAAGTCAATTGCTTAACTCACAGGAACTTTGGTCATTGAACCCTCTTTCTTTTCTTTTTTAAAATTTATTTTTGGTGTTCTTATAAAATAAAAATTTCTTAAATATTTCAAATTGTTTTTAGTATTTTAAAGTGTTCTTGCTCCTATTTTTATGACCTTACAATAACAGAAAAATCGTATGAATAGGAAAAAGAACACAATAGTTTAATGAAAATAAGTTGAGTTTATAAAATTATTTGTTTCTGAAATAATAATTTAAACACTATGACAAAAGAAAAAAGGTCCATACCCAAAACGCCTGGGTTTTCACTTGCGGACGAAAAAGTTGACAAGATAAAACGATCTTTAATTGATTCTAGCGAAGGCAAGATAACAAATATACCAAGATTCAGACAATGTGTAAAGATAAAGGAATTCAATTAGTTACTTTTGATGGTTTGGGTTCGGAGTATAAGCTGTGTGTTTTTGCGAAGGAAGTTAGAATTTATTTTAAAAATACCTATATGGTCTAAGTACTCATATTGTCCGGTCCGTTAATAACCAAACAAAACATATATGTACGTTTCGGCAAAAAAGTGTATCGACAAGTAGTAGGTATTCCTATGGGCACTAACTGCGCCCCTTTAATAGCAGATTTATTCCTGTATTGCTTTGAATCTCAGTTTATGACCAAACTCAGTAAAGACACGTCATTGTTACATTTTGTTGATACATTCAACAATTCCTTCCGTTATCTAGATGATATTTTTTCGTTAAACAATCCAGAGTTCTCTAAATATACTTCCGAAATTTACCCAAAAGAACTTACTTTAACTAAAACTAGCATAAACAGCAGTAGTTGTCCTTTTCTGGATTTTCACATTTCAATCTCTAAAGGAAAACTCCATACTAAAATTTACGACAAAAGAGACGACTTTTCATTCCCTATTGTTAATTTTCCTTTTTTAGACGGCGATGTTCCTTTGGCTCCATCATACGGTGTTTATATATCCCAACTCGTTCGTTATGCCCGCGTGTGTAGTGATGTCATAGATTTTAAAGAACGTAATCAATGCATCACTGGTAAATTATTAAGTCAGGGATTTTGTTACCATAAATTACGTAAAACTTTTACTAAATTCTTTCATAGATACAAATATTTGATTAGTAAATTTGGCTGTACCTGTAGAAAACTGATTAAAATTGGTATTTCACATCCTAAATTTTACGGTAATATTGTACTTAAAGCGCGGAAATCACTATGTGATCCGTGTAAACTCATCGAACCTTTAAACAAACTTAATAGTAAAGGTTATCTTACCAATGTTGTAATTAGATCTTTGAATATAGTTTACATTGGCACTAATATCGATTTTGTCATCAGCAAATTAAAACATAACTAAATTTGTATTCTTTTCAAACGGGATGTATAAAGACACACCCACGTTCATTTTGATCTATAAAGAGGTTAAACTCCTAACTATCTTACTGTCTGTCGATACATTTATTTTTGGCATTGTACAAGTCATGTCTTCTTTGACTGTCCATGACGTTAAAATACTAAATCCCTGGGATGTGTTTTAGTTGATTTTAGTCTCTGATGCATGATTTTTTATTATTAATTGTTTTGGCTTTTAACTAGCTGTCAGTAACTGCGAGTACTCTCAAATCGTACTTTCTTGTTTATTTGACATGTTGATACTAATTGTAATGCTTTTTTGTTATTCAATGTTATTCAGGGTTATATCTGGTCTGTATACCAGCTTTGATAAGTGTTTGGTATTACTATAAATTTTCACTTCGTACTATGAACATCAAAATTATTTATTTTGTAAAATATTTCCTTTCTCTATTGGAACTGCACACGTATACCTAACAACAAAATTATTTTCATTTACCTGTGTTTAAAGTTATTGCAAATGGCTGATATTTTTGTTCGATCATGTTGTTTTTCTTAATTTGTTTAAAATTTCATACCGATATAACATGTTACTTTTATTATTCTTCCCTTAGTTTATTTATTTTGTATTTACATTGTATCATAGGTCAAATTTATTTGTTCAGTGTATGTTCACTGGTGTTAATATGTCCTTTGATTGAGTTAAGCTATTTCAGTTGATATTTTATAGTGTGTCTTTCTATGTTGTGATGTTACACTATTGTTTCAGAAAAAGGGTGAAGGTTTGGTACCATTAAAACGTTTAAACCCGCTGCATTTGTTTGCACCTGTCCTAAGTCAGGAATCTGATGTTCAGTAGTTGTCGTTTGTTGATGTGGTTCATAAGTGTTTCTCGTTTCTCGTTTTTTATAAAGATTAGACCGTTGGTTTTCCCGTTTGATTGGTTTTACACTAGTAATTTTTGGGGCCCTTTATAGCTTACTGTTCGGTGTGACAGAAGGGGCTTCATTGTTTCTCCTGATGAAACACGTTGATAATACACCCGATGACTAGGCATCATATACTGACGTATTGGTCAATGTCTCTTGTAATAAGAATATACCATACTTAAAAGTTGATACATTATTCCTTAGATATAGCACAGTTGTCTATCTTGCTATAAGAAGTAAAGATGAGGTTGCAGTCTTGTAATTGACTGCTCCATAGGCTTACATGCAAAACAACTTTAAAAAAAATTAAATGAAATGCTACATAGGAAAGTTTTTCTGTGTATATATCATGTAATTAGTAATGCAATTTTATATAATGGGATGAAAGTGCCTCATGCCACAAAGAATAAAAAGTTATGAAACCTTGAGGTCAAACTACTTTTTTCTACTTTCTTGTTGCTGTTTTTACTAGTCCGCTTTTTTTCCAGTAATCATGATATCCTTCCACTTTCCTGGTTTGGTGTCTCAAAAAAGATGCAAAATGCTTCTTACATCCAGATAAATGTTTCAATTCAGCATAAACTTTTAATCAGACAGAAAAAAATGACTCCAGTAAAAAATTCTGACAAAATGTACCATTTCATTTCACTCCATGTTTTGCGGAAACTGGCATTGTAATACAAGACTGGTACCATGACGTTTATCATACCACACCTGATATACATAGAATATTCATGATGTACCTTATCAAATGACATATGAATTTATAACAATATATATATATCAAAAGCAATAATTGATTTACAGCAGGTCAAGTTTACGAGCTTATTCCATCTACGCCAGTGACTTACAACTTGGCGACTTTTCATGGTGCGGCAGAGGGTTACATCCTGTTCGGCAAATCACATTTTACATGCACAATGAATTTTTTCACCAAATGTTTAAAAAGACACAAAAATATTTTTTCTGAGTAACATATATGTTACTTAACTTTCCTAAAATGTATGGCATTTGAAAAGATATCATTTTATTAAATATTGCTTTAAATAATATATATGAACAGTCAAATCAGATTTATAGAATAACAATAACTTCATTTACATCAACACAATACTTCAATGAACAGAAATAGGAATACATAATTTCTACATTCTGCGAAAAATTTCTTAAGTTAGGGAGGTGACAAATAGATCTTAATATGATATATGTTAGAATTTGTTAATTATATGTAGAATTTACCAAAATTAATATAGATCTTTAAAATCAGATTTTTTTCAAATTGTGACCATTTCTGAATCATCATGGTAAAATTGAAATTAGGGGAAAACTGTATTGTATTTGCAAATTTGAAGGCACCAATAGTGGATTTGATGGTAGCAAATTTACTGGCGAACAAATTTCATATACAATTCAGTAATCTCCATTCTTATGAAACTGTCGAATATATCAGTGAAAATGGAAATTAAAAATCTTCAAAATAGTATCTGAGCATTCCGAAAAAAAATTAAGGGTGTAAATTGTGGAATATGTGGCGAAATCACATTAACACGGAATCCTTTTATAAAAAATATTTACAAATTGTACAGTATGTCAAATTCAATAAATACCACATTGGAATAAACTGCTAAATAATCCTTGTTTTCCTTTCTTGATCAACTGATAATACTTCTATATATGTCTGTTACTACTATTTTTACAATGATATTTATTCATAAAAACCCTTAGCTTATATACCAAAATCATAAGAACATTCTAAATCTAGAACCAACTATAAATAACTAGAGAACTGATAAACAATCTATTTTTAGTAACAAGGTAAATTCCGGAATTTGCTAACACTTTCTGAAACATAATTTTATACTCCTCGACTTTCACTATCTATCTAGAATATTCTAGCATGATGCATTCACTATAATTAAAATAACAATGTAATTTACAAAAACAATGTCAAATCAAAGTCAAATGTCCTTATAATTGCGTACTATTCGCAACAGAATATACACCCTGAAATTTAAAACGTTATCCAAATAAAAGTCAACATAACAACGAATTATGCATTAGAATGTTATTTAAATTTCTTAACCTTTTCTTCATAATTATAACAGTTAAGACTACAAAAATGGCTTCAGGAAAAGATATATCTCAAAAGATATTTCTAGTCATTTGATTTGGTTCCTGGAAATTGGAAACAACTAATTATGTACACAAAAATATCCATACATTCTTTCTTTAATTTGCAATAATATTTACAACCTGCCAGATATGAATCGAATGGTTTTAACAAATTTCGTTTTACAAAGTTGATGAATATGAACGGATTTCGAGTACGTTTTTTCCAACTCATAGGCAAATATTGCATTAGCATCATTTGGCTCAACTTTTCGGATATTTATGCTCTTCAACTTCGTATTGGATTAAGTCTTCCAACTATCATGATTCGAGCACCACTGATCAGTCAAATGTAGACGAAAAACGCATCTGCCGTACCAAATTAAAATCCCGGCAGCATTGATGAGTTTTTAACAGCATAGCATAAGATTGTTTATTCTACAGAACAGCGGTAGGAGGATCCTTGAATGGTTTCCTGACAGCTTTCGTAATCACAGACCAAAACAGATCTTCACCTAACCCTTGTTGATACTGCAAATGTGGTGTCGTGTCAAGTAAAGACCTGATAGAATTGGTCATGTGACTTGAATCTATTTGACTCTGCATTATAAGAATAAGTGCTTCTTTGCCATGGCGTCGCCTTCTTTCTTGTACAAGGTCAAGTTCCCATTGGCACCATTCACTTTTTGTAAAGTTGTTCGACATAACAACAATTACTTTCCAACTTTTGCCTACATAATTTGTAATATTGTCTGTAATGGATTCTCCAACATCAAAATCTCGATAATGAACGCAGACTTTAAGGTCAATCTCCTCAAGACGTTTAAGGAGTTCTGAATGGACCCATTGCCGATCTGAATCACAGTATATGACAAAAGCATCGTATTCAAAGCTTTCGGAGGAATTTAATCTGATGTATCCTTGTCTCTTCCATTTACTAACTCGAAGAAGATAAATTAAATTCCGAATGTTGGATTGACAGTTTAACATTAGAATTAGCACCACAGTTACGATAAAAAGTGAAACAACAATAACAATTATTATTGTTAAAATTGGACTCCATGTTGAACAGTCGGCGTCTGTCGGCTTATAGTCCACGAGAAGAAGGTGTTTCTTGTCCTCTGGGTATCCGCACGAGTAGTATTTTGGCCAATTTATCAGTATTTTAGAAATGTTTGATGATCGACAATAATCAACGAACCATTTCTGAGCGCACGTACACCAGAAGTCATTATGTGATATGTCAAATTCTGTTAACGACTGCAATAACTGGGTTGGAAACGATGATTCATTTATAACTCGTATGTAATTGCCATCCAACAATAAATTTCTCAAAGACGTCAGATTTTCGAACACACTCCGATTCCATGTTGTAATTCTATTACCTTTTAGATTAAGGATTTCTAAAAATGGCATCTGTTGAAATAATCTTTCCGGCAATGTCGCTATATATGTTGCTTGTAAAATCAGTTTAGTCAAATTCGAGAGTGGATAAAATATTTTCCGAAATATAACAGGATCTTTTGGCATATGGTTATTCGTTAAATCTAGTTCTCTCAGACTAAGCGTGTAATTGAAAAGTTTACTAGAGTTATATAAATACTTTTTCTTGTTATTCTTCTCCTTGTCAAAATGGAATCCATTGTTAACAAATCTTAATACTTTCAAAGTATGGCATCTAAATGCATTTGGTTTGATAATTGACAGATGTGGTATCCAACTAATGGAAAGTGTGTTTAAACTTGTAAGACGTGAAAAAATGTTATTTTCTAAAACCGCTAAACGGTTTTTGTCAAGTATAAGATATCGTAGATTTTCAAGACACCTATAGGACGTCGGATGCAATTTACGAACTGCGTTTTCTGTCAGATCCAGGCGAGATAACCTAGGCACTTATGACTGTCCTGTTTCATCGGAACAGAAATTTGGAATCTCAAATAAATTATTAGCAGTTAAAATTAAAACAATAACTGAATGTAAACCACTTGCATTTAAGAATACGATTTCATTTCTTTCAACGATAAGTTTATCTATCTCTGAAAATTGTGATATCATACTGCAATTAAAATTCAAGAATGTGTTGTCCGTAAACAATAGTTTTTTCAGCGTGTAATTTTTGAAATCAGAGAAAAAGTCCATTGGAAGCATTGTCCATCCATTGTGTATAAAACTCATATTTTCCATTAGCTGTTTATTTAAACTCTGGAAAGACATTTTCAGGGAAGGAACGTTCAATATCTTTTCACTTAATATTTGTAGTTGTCTGAGATATTTTAGCTCCCGAAATGCATCTGCAGTCAGTATTTTTATTGAATTGTTTTTGAACGTTAAACTAGTTAAGTTATTGTTCGAAACATTTCGAAATGTGTCCATGTTGATACGAGATAGGACATTGTGTTCCAATTGCAATTTTACTACATAACTTGGTACTCTTGGAATATATATCAAACGTCTACAAATTGCTCTACTATAATTCTTACTACAGTTGCAAAACTTTTCCAAACATGATACATCGCTCTCTCCTGTCCGAACTTGAACATAAATGAACCAAATTAAGCAAAGAAAATATAAATGTAAACGTTCCATTCTTACTTATTATTACACATTGACAGAAATGCTATTGATATTTATGTTCGGTCATGAAATTTATTATAACAACTTCCTTCCGAACCATCTCTTTATTGTACTCGCGCAATATAATACCATCTTGTGTCATTTTCACACAGAGCAAAACATGTTTTAGTTCTCATGAAACTAAAAGGACTTTGATATCTTTTTGATTTATTCATTTTTTTTTGTATTTTTATTTTACAAAATAGTTTCATACAAGGAAGTAAATGATAAACTTTTTTTGGAACAACATATATATGTATTGATAGCGTTCATATTTCCTATGATGACATATTTTTCAGATGTTTATCACAGCTGTCTTCCAATACCATACTTTCAGCACGAAAAAACTTCTTAAAATAGGTAAGGGCAATTTTCTATTCATGTATTTCACAAAAAGACATTTTTTAAGAAATCTTTCGATCCTTCAGAAAATTCACAGATACACAGCTTAATTAGTGTATTTCGAAGTTATATGTACCAAGTCAGGAATATAGCAGTTGTTATCACATAGTCCGTTTCTATGTTTGTTGGCGTTTGTTTTTGTAGCAGTTCAGTGTTTCTGTTGTTCCGTTTTGTTCCCTCTTATAGTTGATGTGTTTCCCTCAATTTTTGTTTGTGACCTGGATGTGTTTCATTTAAATCGATTTATGACTATTGAACAGCGGTATACTACTATTGTCTTATTGCTATAAGAATGTTATGTGGTAATTCTTTTACATTTAAAAAACTAATAATTCTTGAAGATTGTTTAAAACGGCCATTTTGATATAATTTCGGAGGTAAAGATGTGTACATGTGATGTCTGTGAGGCACATGTTCAATCTAATTAATTTTGATTCCGAATGCTTTTCGGTTTAAATTTTCACAAAAAAAGTAATATTTGCAATAGTTTATCGTTTTAATTCATTAAGTCCGAAAAGTTAGAAAAGTTTTCCGTATTTGTTTTAAGTTTTGGCGGCTTTAAACAACTTTCGAACTTCATGATTCATTCCTTGCATTTTGAGTCATACAGCTGGTGCAAATGACATCAACCTCCGCCATCGGTAACTGAATTGACGTAATTAAAGCTATCAAAGATTGAAGCTTTGTACTTTTTGGATAACTGAGTTGCATATTTGTTTGTTTTTATAGTGATTAAGTTTATAACACAATGTTGACTGCTGTAACCCTATTTTTGACATTTTTACCTATCATGTCTGTTTGTTTTGTTCACACAGAGTTGTCCATATAATGAAATTGTATGCGACTGTCATACAAGTGAGAGGTTTAGCTAGCTATAAAACCAGGTTTAATCCACCATTTTCTACATAAGAAAATGCTTGTACCAAGTCAGGATTATGACAGTTATTATCCATTCGTTTGATGTGTGTGAGCTTTTGATTTTGCCATTTGATTACGGACTCTCCGTTTTAAATTTTCGATATTTTTGTTATTTTACTTTTTATTGTACAAACAACCTATCAACAAAAACGAAAAGATAAGTCTCTTTTGAGATGATACATGCCCAAATTATTATTTAATGGAAATATCGAGCATAAAATATGCCGGAGATAAGCAAACAGATTACGATATTTAAATTTTCGATTATTCCTGTCTTGTGGAAAATATTAATAGAGGGTCAAAATTGATAAACTATTGTTATTGTAATATGGTATGAAAAAGAGTAAGAACACATCTAGCAAGTGAAAATAAGTTAAAATATTACTAAAATCAATTTAAAAACACACAAAAAGGGGAATGCATACCTCGAGCGCCTGTGTAGTTTGTGTCTTTCATACGCTTAGACTGTAAATCTTGCATTACTGCTGTCTCCGAAAAACAGTTATTTGGCATTTGGCCACAGTTTAAATTAAAGATTTTACCATCATATGTAATGTAGTAACTGTATATAGACAAAGCTCCCATTCTGTCCAGACAAGGCGTTATATATATTTCCTCAATCCAGATAGTTAAGATAAGATAACAAAGG